CCAGGATCGCGCTGATCAGCGCGACCGTCTTCCCGCTCTTGCTGGGTCCGAGGAAGATCCCGGTGCAGGGCAGCCGCGGCACTATGCCATGTCTCGGCTGCTTCGAGGTGTACTCGGGGTTGGGGAATAGCTTGACCTTGCCCATGCTTTATCCACAAGGCCTTGTAGCGCTCGAAGCACATCTTTTTTAGCTCACCGCGGCCGCGATCTCGTCGCAGAGCCGCGGGGGCATGCTGTACAGTTGCTCCCGGGACTGCTGGTTGCGGCGACTGGGCACTCGGGGTGGATGCCATCCGCGAAGGCCTCGCAGCGGTCGTCCTTGCGGCACATGGTCTCCGAGGCCTCCCAGGGCAAGTTGTGCCAAATCCTTGTGGCCTTCTTCGGAAGCCATACTTGCAGTAGCAGACGTCGCTGTAGGGCAAACCCTGCACCATCGGCCGCGTCTTGAGCAGGCCCGTCTGCGGGTTTTCAAAAGCCCACCACCTGGGGCGCAGGTTCTCGATGATTTGTAGCGTGCGCAACACCAGCCGATCCCCGGCCTCGAGGTTCCTGTGCCCCAGGGCCGCCTCGTCCAATTCCATGATGTCGCAGCAGATGGTGGGCTGGAACTTGGGGTCCAGGTCTACGGAAACGACCTCCCAGCCCCTAGCCGGGAAGGCCCTGCCAATCGAGCCCGTCCCGCTGAAGAGCTCGAGAAGTTTCGGCATCCTCTTTCTCCGGGTCGCGTGCGAACCAGATAAAGGCGACAACGAGGCAGGCCACCTCCAGGTTGCAGATCACGCAGTCGTGCCAGGTCATGGGGGCTGATGGAGGTTCGTCGGACGAGCGCAGCATTTTATTCTACCGCGTCTGCGCAGACAAGAGGTCCGAGCGGGTCGCTCTGGAGCTTCCCACGTACAAGTGCCTGAGCGTGAAGTGTGGGCTGGAGACGTCGCAGAGACTCACATGCCCGACAAGCGTGAGGCCTTGACAGCTTGCGTAAGTGATGGCGTGTGGCAAGCGGGTGTACTTGAAGAGGTCGTCCTTTTTTTGAGCACCGTCCCGTCCTCTAGCTCCACGGCTTCATCGCCGCATGTTTTGACCGTTGCAAACGTGCCTTTGCAAATCTTGCCGCCCGCGCCCACCAGTCGGATGCCCGGCCAGATCCGCATGGTCTGTGGCTTATTGGTCAAATTCTTGGTGGTCTCGCTAGGGGAATATACGAAGAGTATTGCGCCTGCAGGGGCTGTGGTCCGATTTATTGACTCATTCAGTTGAGTGCGATGCCAATGGCTTATTGCCAGGGCCGTGTCTGGTGTGATGCGCTTGTCCGGGAACTTGGCCCAAGCTTCGCAGAGAGCGCGGTTCAGTGGGGTCTCATCCGGCTCATCAATACGCAGCCAGCGCAAAAAGTCGAAGATTACCTGGTCGCTATACGCTTGTTTTCCACCAATTCGTGCCGGTAGCCCCGCGTCAGTGACTTTATGAGCTGCGCGTGCTGGAGCTCACGCTGAACTTCGGCGCCGGCAAAGCTATCTAGCACGGCGGGCAATTGGCGGAAGTCGCCCAGGAGAATGAAGCGGATGCGGGTGTTCAGGGCCAAGCGCGCAATGTCGTTCCAGAGCACGGTGTCCAGCTGCGTAATTTCTTCGACCGCCAGCCAATCAATCAGGCGCACGTTCCCGTGGCGCACAAACTTCCGCAGCCAGTGGTCAGCCGTGCGGGCTCCCTGGCCCAGGTTCTGCGCGGCGCAGTGCGTCTTGGCCACGATGTGCACGGCTTGCTTTTGTTCCCGCAGCACGGCCACGATGCGCTGAGCTAGGTGGGTTTTGCCGGTCCCAGGCAAGCCGGTGAGGAGCAAGGAGCCTGCTGCCAAGCAGTGCGCCAAAGGGTCAGAGATGTCCCTCCACTCCAGCTCCGGAGGCATCGCGTGTTCTGCGAGTTGCGGCTCTCTGTAGTGCTGCGCAGTGGCTTGACCTCCTCGATGCGGTAGACTTGGCTGCCGTCAGGGTGTTTCAGGTCCTGGAGGGCTTGCAGGAGATGCTGGTGTGTCTTCGGTAGTTGCTGGACAACCACGCAGTCTCTTGATGCATTTGATGTAGGACGGTAGCGCGGCCCGCAGCTCGTGCTTGATTCTGGCCACGGCCACGTACTCCGCCGCCATCACAAAGTCGTGCAGCGGCCTGTGGCTTGCGTTGCTCATCAGATTGTGCATGAAGATGAAGTCCCAGTACTCTGCAAGCGGCTGTTCCGCTTCAGCGACAATTTCTTCTCCAACTCTCATCCCCTCTTCTGCGTCCTCTTCTGTCGTCTGTCCGGATAGGAGGGATGCAAAGACACTGAAAACCCGCCGCTCTTGGCACCCGTAGCCGTCTAGCTCGTTTTGGCTGCTCCGCATGGTGTACACCACGTCCATGTTGCGGGCCCAGAGGCCGATTAGTGCATTTACAGAAAGCTTCGCGTAATGCTCCTCGCCGTCAGGCCATGCCCGCTGATGTCCAGTGCCTTGTGGAAACACTCTGGCGTGACGTGTGCAGTGGCGTCCAAGGAGTACTTGAAGTCATCCCACGTAGCCATGCCTGTTTCAAGCATGAAGGCAGTTATAGGTTTGCCGTACCAGCCTTTGCCCACATAGGGCAATTGTGAGTAGGTCGTCGCGCGGCGGTCTACGCGTAGGCTTACGTATGTCAGGTCGGCCAGATGCCCAGGCTGTGCCACTTTCACATCATCGAGCGCGCAGAAAATGGGGAAGCGGAAAGCGGGCGTTGGCCAGCCCGTTCTTCCGGCACCGCGCCACGTCGATGCCGATGCAGGGCACGGTTTTACGCGGCGCATGGACCTCGAATACCAAGGGAGGCAGCTTGGGGCTCCACAGGTAGGCTTCGCAGGCTCGTGGGTTGAGGCGTGATTCCAGGCTTGTGGGCTGGATGGTCTGCAGCAGAGTCTTGTTGCGGTGGCATTCCAGGCACAAAGCTTGCAGAACTTGTTCGTCGTCGC